ACAGTGTACACACACACACAGTGTACACACACACAGAGTACACACACACACAGTGTACACACACACAGAGTACACACACACAGAGTACACACACACACAGAGTACACACACACACAGAGTACACACACACAGAGTACACACACACAGAGTACACACACAGAGTACACACACACACAGAGTACACACACAGAGTACACACACACAGAGTACACACACACACAGTGTACACAGAGTACACACACACAGAGACACACACACAGAGTACACACACAGAGTACACACACACACACACAGAGTACACACACAGAGTACACACACACAGAGTACACACACACAGAGTACACACACACACAGTGTACACACACACAGAGTACACACACACACACACAGTGTACACAGAGTACACACACAGAGTACACACACACACACAGAGTACACACACACAGTGTACACAGAGTACACACACACAGAGTACACACACACACAGTGTACACACACACACAGTGTACACACACACAGTGTACACAGAGTACACACACACACAACAACAACCGCCATTCGCCACTAAGTGGTGGTGACGTCACCACGACGCTTGTGCCAGGCTATGTGCACCCCGAGGCCACGTGAAGTGTCGAACGCCCGCTGGCAGGAGGTCACGGGGCAGACCCAGGTGCCACGGGTCGACTGACTGAGATGACTGGCTGATGCACCACCTGTGCCCCCTACTGTGCCAACCTGCTGTGCTTTAGCCACCCGGCGCTCCGCTCGTTGTTGTGAGCGTCGCTCCTCCGCCCTCCGTTGTTGTTGGAGGGCGACTGCCTCCAACTGCCCAGTAGCGTCCTTCACGAGCCTCCTCCACAGAGGCCGATCTTGACACAGCTGGTACCAGTCATTGGCAAGTCCACTCAGCTCCACGTCCTCCTGTACCACGTCACTCCATCTCTTCTCTAGTCCGTGCCGCGCCCATTTAGACCCCTCGATCCGGCCGAACAAAAGCTGTTTCGGCATGCGGAGGCTGGGCATGCGAGCTACATGACCCAGCCAACGCAGCCTTGCCTGCTGGAGGAGCTCACCGATGGGACCGTGCCCAGATCTTTCAAGGATTTGTGAGCTCCTCACACAATCCAGTCTGGTTAAACCCAGGATGGATCGTAGGCAGGCCAGCCTAAATGTTTCTAACCGGCGAAGATGTTCCATTAGCGGGGTCCACGTTTCGCAAGCGTAGAGAAGGGAGGGAATGACCGTGGCCGAGAAGACTTGAAGCTTAGTGCGGAGCGACAGACCAGGTAGCTTCCACACAGCGTTACGCAACCGATGAAAAGATATTGCCGCTCGACTGATTCGGAGTGAGACCTCTGCTGTTAAACTGGAGCCAGTCATAAGCACACTGCCCAGGTATGGGAAACTCTCCACTCTCTCCACAACTGCCCCATCACCGATTGGGAGTTGTGGGGGTGGAGTGTCCGATGGTACAAAATACCCAGGCAGGTGCTTAGTTTTGGTGGGGCTGATGATAAGGCCCCGCCTCTTAGTGGCACGCTCCAGTCTCAGCAGCAGCGTCTCCAACTCCTCCTCTGACTGAGCAGCTATTACCAAATCATCAGCATACATAACGTGGTTGAGTAATAGGGAGCCATCCCTTGATCGCACCCGGGCATAGATTAGCCTTCCATTATATCTGTACCATATGGAGATTCCCCCGGTACAGCTATTGAAGGCTTCACGAACTACGTGGTCAAAATAGATGTTAAATAATGTGGGAGCCAGAGGACATCCCTGTCGCACCCCAAGGTGTACAGGGAATGGCTCTGACTCCCGGCCACGTAGTTTTACCCGGGCCCGCTCACCATCATGAAGGTCCTTAATGATCGTGAGCAGAGGGTCAGGTACTCCAAAAGCACGAAGAACGACCCAGAGCCCAGGCCTACTGATGGTATCATAGGCCTTGACCAGGTCAATAAAGCAGAGATGTAGGTCTTGTTGGAATTCCCTACACCTCTGGTGTAGTAGACGGACAGAAAATATGGCATCTGTGCAGGACCGCCCTTTCCTGAAACCGCATTGGGGCTCCGCAAGCCTCTCCTCAGCGTGCCTGGCAAGGCGATGCTGAATAATCCTTGCCAGGACCTTTCCCGGCACACTGAGGAGTGAGATGCCCCCTGTAGTTGTTCCAGTCTGTGCGGTCCCCCTTCTTAAAGAGGGGGACCACCAGGGCATCCTTCCAATCCTGCGGAACCCGTCCAGTGGTCCAGACTGTTGTTATGATATCACATAGGGCAGTCTGTGCACAAACGCCGCCCTCTCTCAGCATTTCGCTTGGGTGATAATCTCTACCCGCTGCCTTTGCTGGTCTCAGACTCCGGATCGCCTTCAGTACTTCCTCAACAGATGGCACCTCAGCCAGCCACTCACAGGGGGTGACTACTTCCAATATTTGAGGCACCGCAGCCTCAGCAGGGTCATCCTCACTTGTGCCACGATGTTTTCCAGGTTGAAGGATTTCCCCTCCACCAGGACCTCAGAATTGCTCAGCATGTGTGTACCGGTGTGTGTGTACACTGTGCGTGTGTGTGTGTACACTGTGCGTGTGTGTGTACAATGTGTGTGTGTGTCAGTGTGTGTACACTGTGTGTGTGTATACACTGTGTGTGTACACTGTGTGTACACTGTGTGTGTACACTGTGTGTGTGTACACTGTGTGTGTGTACACTGTGTGTGTGTGTGTACTGTGTGTGTGAGTGTCAGTGTGTGTACACTGTGTGTGTGTCAGTGTGTGTACACTGTGTGTGTGTGTACTTTGTGTGTGTGTGTCAGTGTGTGTACACTGTATGTGTGTACACTGTGTGTGTGTGTGTGTACACTGTGTGTGTACACTATGTGTACACTGTGTGTGTGTACTTTGTGTGTGTGTCAGTGTGTGTACACTGTGTGTGTGTGTACACTGTGTGTGTACACTATGTGTACACTGTGTGTGTGTGTACTTTGTGTGTGTGTCAGTGTGTGTACACTGTATGTGTGTGTACTTTGTGTGTGTGTGTGTCAGTGTGTGTACACTGTATGTGTGTGTACACTGTGTGTGTGTGTGTGTACACTATGTGTACACTGTGTGTGTGTGTACTTTGTGTGTGTGTCAGTGTGTGTACACTGTGTGTGTGTGTACACTGTGTGTGTACACTATGTGTACACTGTGTGTGTACACTGTGTGTGTACACTGTGTGTGTGTGTACACTGTGTGTGTGTACACTGTGTGTGTGTGTACTGTATGTGTGAGTGTCAGTGTGTGTACACTGTGTGTGTGTCAGTGTGTGTACACTGTTTGTGTGTACTTTGTGTGTGTGTGTGTCAGTGTGTGTACACTGTATGTGTGTGTACACTGTGTGTGTGTGTGTACACTGTGTGTGTACACTATGTGTACACTGTGTGTGTGTGTACTTTGTGTGTGTGTCAGTGTGTGTACACTGTGTGTGTGTGTACACTGTGTGTACACTATGTGTACACTGTGTGTGTGTGTACACTGTGTGTGTGTGTACACTTTGTGTGTGTGTACACTGTGTGTGTGTACACTGTGAGTGTGTGTACACTGTGTGTGTATACACTGTGTGTGTACACTGTGAGTGTGTACACTGTGAGTGTGTGTACACTGTGTGTGTGTGTACACTGTGTGTGTACACTATGTGTACACTGTGTGTGTGTGTACTTTGTGTGTGTGTCAGTGTGTGTACACTGTATGTGTGTGTACACTGTGTGTGTGTGTACACTGTGTGTGTGTACACTGTGTGTGTACACTATGTGTGTGTGTACACTGTGTGTGTGTGTACACTGTGTGTGTGTGTACACTGTGTGTGTGTACACTGTGTGTGTGTGTACACTGTGTGTACACTGTGTGTGTACACTGTGAGTGTGTGTACACTGTGTGTGTGTGTGTGTACACTGTGGGTGTACACTGTGTACACTGTGTGTACACTGTGTGTGTGTGTACACTGTGTGTGTGTGTACACTGTGTGTGTACACTGTGTGTGTACACTGTGTGTGTGTACACTGTGAGTGTGTGTACACTGTGTGTGTGTACACTGTGAGTGTGTGTACACTGTGTGTGTATACACTGTGTGTGTACACTGTGAGTGTGTACACTGTGAGTGTGTGTACACTGTGTGTGTGTGTACACTGTGTGTGTACACTATGTGTACACTGTGTGTGTGTGTACTTTGTGTGTGTGTCAGTGTGTGTACACTGTGTGTGTGTGTACACTGTGTGTGTGTGTACACTGTGTGTGTACACTATGTGTGTGTGTGTACACTGTGTGTGTACACTGTGTGTGTACACTGTGTGTGTGTGTACACTGTGTGTGTGTACACTGTGAGTGTGTGTACACTGTGTGTGTGTATACACTGTGTGTGTACACTGTGAGTGTGTACACTGTGAGTGTGTGTACACTGTGTGTGTGTGTGTACACTGTGTGTGTGTGTACACTGTGTGTGTGTACACTGTGTGTACACTGTGTGTGTACACTGTGAGTGTGTGTACACTGTGTGTGTGTGTGTACACTGTGGGTGTACACTGTGTACACTGTGTGTACACTGTGTGTGTGTGTACACTGTGTGTACACTGTGTGTGTGTACTGTGTGTACACTGTGTGTGTACACTGTGTGTGTGTACACTGTGTGTGTGTACACTGTGTGTGTACACTGTGTGTGTGTACACTGTGTGTACACTGTGTGTGTGTACACTGTGTGTACACTGTGTGTGTGTACACTGTGTGTACACTGTGTGTGTGTACACTGTGTGTGTGTGTACACTGTGTGTACACTGTGTGTGTGTACACTGTGTGTACACTGTGTGTGTGTACACTGTGTGTGTGTGTACACTATGTGTACACTGTGTTTGTGTACACTGTGTGTGTGTACACTGTGTGTACACTGTATATGTGTACACTGTGTGTGTGTGTACACTGTGTGTACACTGTGTGTGTGTACACTGTGTGTGTGTACACTGTGTGTGTGTGTACACTGTGTGTGTGTGTACACTGTGTGTGTGTACACTGTGTGTGTGTACACTGTGTGTGTGTGTGTACACTGTGTGAACACTGTGTGTGTGTGTACACTGTGTGTGTGTGTACACTGTGTGTGTGTGTACACTGTGTGTGTACACTGTGAGTGTACACTGTGAGTGTGTACCCGGTGCGTGCACCATGCTCCCCCAGGCTGTGGTAGAAGCACTTGGAGGAGGTGTAGATCTCCTCATCATCGTCAATGCTCTCCAGGTCTCCCAGCTCAGAGTTCGCTCTCCCGTCCGTGCACACAATCACCTAGAGCATCACAATCATCGTCACCATCGTCACCATCGTCATCACCATCGTCGTCATCATCATCACCATCGTCACCATCATCACCATCGTCGTCATCGTCATCATCATCGTCACCGTCACCACCGTCATCATCGTCACCACCGTCATGATCACCATCATCACCATCATCACCATCGTTATCACCATCGTCATCACCATCGTCATCACCATCGTCATCACCATCATCACCACCATCATCACCACCATCATCACCATCATCACCATCGTCACCATCGTCACCATCGTCACCACCCTCATCGTCACCATCGTCATCATCATAACCATCGTCACCACCGTCATCATCACCATCGTCATCACCATCATCACCACGATCATCACCACCATCATCACCATCGTCATCACCATCGTCACCACCGTCATCATCACCATCATCATCACCATCATCACCACCATCATCACCATCATCACCATCGTCACCATCGTCATCATCATCACCATCGTCACCATCGTCGTCACCACCATCATCATCATCACCATCGTCATCGTCACCATCGTCATCACCACCACCACCGTCATCATCACCACCACCACCACCGTCATCATTACCATCGTCATCATCACCATCATCATTACCACCGTCATCACCATCGTCGTCATCATTACCATCATCGTCACCATCGTCACCATCGTCACACCGTCATCATCACCATCGTCATCATCATCACCATCGTCATCACCATCGTCATCATCACCACCGTCATCATCATCACCATCATCATCACCATCGTCATCATCACCACCATCGTCATCATCACTAAAACCACCGTCATCATTACCATCGTCATCATCACCATCATCATCACCACCGTCATCACCATCGTTGTCATCACCATCGTCAGTCACCATCGTCACCATCGTCACCATCGTCACCACCATCATCACCATCGTCATCATCACCACCGTCATCATCATCACCATCGTCATCGTCACCACCATCGTCATCACTAAAACCACCGTCATCATTACCATTGTCATCAGCACCATCATCATCACCATCGTCGTCGTCATCACCACCATCGTCATCATCACCACCATTGTCACCATGGTCACCACCGTCACCATCGTCATCATCATCATCATCACCACCGTTACCACCGTCATCATCACCATCGTCATCACCATCATCGTCATCATCATCATCACCATCGTCACCATCGTCATCATCATCACCACCGTTACCACCGTCATCATCACCATCGTCATCACCATCATCGTCATCATCATCATCACCATCGTCATCACCGTCACCACTATCATCGCCATCATCATCACCATCGTCATCATCGTCACCATCGTCGTCATCACCATCGTCATCATCACCATCGTCATCGTCACCACCGTGATCACCATCGTCATCACCACCACCACCACCGTCATCATCACCACCACCACCGTCATCATTACCATCGTCATCATCACCATCATCATCACCACCGTCATCATTACCATCATCATCGTCACCATCGTCAAACCGTCATCATCACCATCGTCATCATCTTCACCATCGTCATCACCATCGTCATCATCACCACCGTCATCATCATCACCATCGTCATCACCATCGTCATCATCATCACCATCGTCACCATCGTCACACCGTCATCATCACCATCGTCATCATCATCACCATCGTCATCACCATCATCATCACCATCGTCATCATCACCACCGTCATCATCATCACCATCGTCATCACCATCGTCATCATCACCACTATCGTCATCATCACTAAAACCACCGTCATCATTACCATCGTCATCATCACCATCATCATCACCATCGTCGTCATCATCACCATCGTCATTATCATCACCATCGTCATCATCACCACCATTGTCACCATGGTCACCACCGTCACCATCGTCATCATCATCACCACCGTTACCACCGTTACCACCGTCATCATCACCATCATCGTCGTCATCATCATCATCATCACCATCGTCATCATCATCACCATCGTCACCATCGTCATCATCATCACCACCGTTACCACCATCGTCATCACCGTCATCACCATCATCGTCATCATCATCATCATCGTCGTCCTCATCATCACCATCGTCACCATCGTTGTCATCACAATCGTCATCATCACCATCGTCATCGTCACCACCGTCATCACCATCGTCATCACCGTCATCACCATCGTCATCATCACTACCACCACCGTCATCATTACCATCGTCGTCATCATCATCACCATCGTCATCGTGACCACCGTCACCACCGTCATCACCACCATCGTCATCACCATCATCACCATCACCATCGTCACCACCATCACAATCGTCACCACCGTCATCATCACCATCGTCATCACCATCGTCGTCATCATTACCATCACAATCGTCACCACCGTCATCATCACCATCGTCATCACCATCGTCGTCATCATTACCATCATCATCGTCACCATCGTCACACCGTCAACATCACCATCGTCATCATCATCACCATCGTCATCACCATCGTCATCATCACCACCGTCATCATCATCATCACCATCGTCATCATCACTAAAACCACCGTCATCATTACCATCGTCATCATCACCATCATCATCACCACCGTCATCACCATCGTTGTCATCACCATCGTCAGTCACCATCGTCACCATCGTCACCACCGTCATCATCACCATCGTCATCATCATCACCATCGTCATCATCATCACCATCGTCATCACCATCATCATCATCACCACCGTCATCACCATCATCATCATCACCACCGTCATCATCATCACCATCGTCATCGTCACCACCATCGTCATCACTAAAGCCACCGTCATCATTACCATCGTCATCATCACCATCATCACCATCATCATCACCATCGTCATTATCACCACCATCGTCATCATCACCATCATCGTCATCATCACCATCGTCATCACCATCATCGTCATCATCATCACCATCATCATCATCACCATCGTCAACATCGTCATCATCATCACCACCGTTACCACCGTCATCATCACCATCGTCATCATCACCATCGTCATCATCATCATCATCACCATCGTCATCACCGTCACCACCATCATCGCCATCATCATCACCATCGTCATCACCATCGTCATCATCACCATCGTCATCGTCACCACCGTGATCACCATCGTCATCACCACCACCACCGTCATCATCACCACCACCACCACCGTCATCATTACCATCGTCATCATCACCATCATCATCACCACCGTCATCACCATCGTCGTCATCATTACCATCATCATCATCATCACCATCGTCACCATCGTCACACCGTCATCATCACCATCGTCATCATCACCATTGTCATCACCATCGTCATCATCATCGTCATCATCACCACCGTCATCATCATCACCATCGTCATCATCACCACCATCGTCATCATCACTAAAACCACCGTCATCATTACCATCGTCATCATCACCATCATCATCACCATCGTCGTCATCATCACCATCGTCATTATCATCACCATCATCATCATCACCACCATTGTCACCATGGTCACCACCGTCACCATCGTCACATCATCACCACCGTTACCACCGTTACCACCGTTACCACCGTCATCATCACCATCATCGTCATCATCATCACCATCGTCATCATCATCACCATCGTCACCATCGTCATCATCATCACCACTGTAACCACCATCGTCATCACTATCATCGTCATCATCATCATCACCATCGTCACCATCGTTGTCATCACAATCGTCATCATCACCATCGTCATCGTCACCACTGTCATCACCATCGTCATCATCACCACCATCGTCATCATCACTACCACCACCGTCATCATTACCATCGTCATCGTCGTCATCATCATCACCATCGTCATCATCACCACCGTCACCACCGTCATCACCACCATCGTCATCACCATCATCACCATCACCATCGTCACCACCATCACAATCGTCACCACCGTCATCATCACCATCGTCACCACCGTCTTCATCACCATCGTCATCACCATCGTCATCACCATCGTCATCACCATCGTCATCACCATCGCCATCGCCATCACCATCGTCATCGCCATCGTCATCACCATCATCATCACCATTATCGTCGCCATCACCATTGTCACCATCGTCATCGTCACCACCGTCACCATCGTCATCACCGTCATCACCATCGTCATCATCACTACCACCACCGTCATCATTACCATCGTCGCCATCATCATCACCATCGTCATTATCACCACCACCATCGTCATCATCACTACCACCACCATCATCATTACCATCGTCGTCATCACCATCGTCATCGTCACCACCGTCATCACCACCATCGCTATCATCATCACCATCGTCATCATCACCACCATCGTCACCATCGTCACCACCGCCATCATCACCATCGTCATCACCATCATCATCGCCATCATCATCACCATCGTCACCATCATCACCATCGCCATCGTCATTATTACCATCGTCATCATCACCATCATCACCACCGTCACCATCGCCGTCATCATCACCACCGTCACCATCGGCATCATCATCACCATCATCATCACCATCGTCACCACCACGATCACCGTAGTGGCATCGTCACCGTTGTGTGTCACTCACGGCGCCAACAGGGGCACAAGGGAGTCCGTAGCAGGCAGTGAGTGAGGCCTACGTCAGGTGACCCCCACTGGAGCTCGGGACCGGGGGTAGAGACCCCTGACCCCCTAGAGGGGGGCTGGGAGAGAGAACGTGACGCCCAAGGCCCCCCGGACGGCCCCCCCACGAGCGAGGAGTGGCTCGGAGTGGCTCGGAGTGGCTCGGAGTGGCTCGGGGCGGCGTGAGCCAGAAGCGAGGAGTGGCTCGGAGTGGCTCGGAGTGGCTCGGGGTGGCGTGAGCCAGAAGCGAGGAGTGGCTCGGAGTGGCTGGGAGTGGCTCGGAGTGACTCGGAGTGGCTCGGAGTGGCGTGAGCCAGAAGCGAGGAGTGGCTCGGAGTGGCTGGGAGTGACTCGGAGTGGCTCGGGGCGGCGTGAGCCAGAAGCGAGGAGTGGCTCGGAGTGGCTCGGAGTGGCTCGGAGTGGCTCGGAGTGGCTCAAAGCGGTGTGAGCCAGAAGCGAGGAGTGGCTCGGAGTGGCTCGGAGTGGCTCGGAGTGGCTCGGAGTGGCTCAAAGCGGTGTGAGCCAGAAGCGAGGAGTGGCTCGGAGTGGCTCGGAGTGGCTCGGAGTGGCGTGAGCCACAAGGGAGGAGCGGCTCGGAGTGGCTCGGAGTGGCTCGGAGTGGCTCGGAGTGGCTCAAAGCGGTGTGAACCAGAAGCGAGGAGTGGCTCGGAGTGACTCGGAGTGACTCGGAGTGACTCGGAGTGGCTCGGAGTGGCTGGGAGTGACTCGGAGTGACTCGGAGTGACTCGGAGTGGCTCGGAGTGGCTGGGAGTGGCTCGGGGCGGCGTGAGCCACGAGGCGGTCACCGTGAACCTGGAGAGCGAGGGGCCACCCCCGGGTGGAAGGGGCCAGACCCCCGCTTTGTGTCGTGTGAATGTTCAATGAATGTGACTGCCTCCACAGAGGAGTCTCCTCATAGTTTTGTACCCGCTACACCATCAGCATCACACACACAGTGAACACACACACACACAGTGAACACACACACACACAGTGAACACACACGCACAGTGAACACACACACACACAGTGAACACACACACACAGTGAACACACAGAGTGAACACACACACAGTGAACACACACACACAGTGAACACACACACAGTGAACACACACACACAGTGAACACACACACAGTGAACACACACACAGTGAACACACACAGTGAACACACACACACAGTAAACACACACACACAGTAAACACACACACAGTGAACACACACACACACACACAGTGAACACACACACAGTGAACACACACACAGTGAACACACACAGTGAACACACAAACAGTAAACACACAAACAGTAAACACACACACACACACAGTGAACACACACACAGTGTACACACACACAGTGAACACACACACACAGTGAACACACACACACCGTGAACACACACACACAGTGAACACACACACACACAGTGAACACACACACACACAGTGAACACACACACACAGTGAAGACACACACACAGTGAACACACGCACAGAGTGAACACACACACACACAGTGAACACACACACAGTGAACACACACAGTGAACACACACACAGTGAACACACACACAGTGAACACACACACACAGTGAACACACACACACAGTGAACACACACAGTGAACACACACAGTGAACACACACACACACAGTGAACACACACACACAGTGAACACACACACAGTGAACACACACACAGTGAACACACACACACAGAGTGAACACACACACAGTGAACACACACACAGTGAACACACACACACACGGTGTATCGTCATCAGCAGCAGTGTCAACAGGTTCAGGGGTGTGGTTGTGTAGCACCATGGATGGGGAGGGGCTCCTGGGGGCTCAGGATCCCCAGACAGCTGAGCCCCTTGGGGTCTACGATCCCTCGCAGTCCCACCCCTCGATAGGCAAGGGGCATCAACTCTGGGTAGTGGTGGGACTCTGGGTAGTGGTGGGACTCTGGGTAGTGGTGGGACTCTGGGTAGTGGTGGGACTTTGGGTAGTGGTGGGACTCTGAGACAGTGGTGGGACTCTGAGACGGTGGTGGGACTCTGTGACGGTGGTGGGACTCTGGGTAGTGGTGGGACTTTGGGTAGTGGTGGGACTCTGAGGCAGTGGTGGGACTCTGAGACAGTGGTGGGACTCTGAGACAGTGGTGGGGCTCTCGGCCAGTGGTGGGACTCTGGGCAGTGGTGGGACTCTTTACAGTGGTGGGACTCTGAGACAGTGGTGGGACTCTGGACGGTGGTGGGACTCTGGGTAGTGGTGGGACTCTGGACAGTGGTGGGACTCTGGACAGTGGTGGGACTCTGGACAGTGGTGGGACTCTGGGACAGTGAAGGGACTCTGTGACAGTGGTGGGACTCTGGGACAGTGGTGGGACTCTGGACAGTGGTGGGACTGAGACGGTGGTGGGACTCTGGGACAGTGGTGGGACTCTGGACAGTGGTGGGACTCTGAGACAGTGGTGGGACTCTGTGACGGTGGTGGGACTCTTTACAGTGGTGGGACTCTGAGACAGTGGTGGGACTCTGGACAGTGGTGGGACTCTGGACAGTGGTGGGACTCTGGGACAGTGGTGGGACTCTGAGACAGTGGTGGGACTCTGGGTAGTGGTGGGACTCTGTGATGGTGGTGGGACTCTGTGACAGTGGTGGGACTCTGGACAGTGGTGGAACTCTGAGACAGTGGTGGGACTCTGGACAGTGGTGGGACTCTGAGACAGTGGTGGGACTCTGGACAGTGGTGGGACTCTGAGGCAGTGGTGGGACTCTGGACAGTGGTGGGACTCTGGACTGTGGTGGGACTCTGAGACAGTGGTGGGACTCTGAGACAGTGGTGGGACTCTGAGACAGTGGTGGGACTCTTTACAGTGGCGGGACTCTGCTAGGAGCAGGCGTGCCCCGAGGCTGTAGCAGGGTATGAGGAGGATTGTTGGAGGGCTGCATTGTAATTCAGAAGTTACCTGCACAAAGTGCCTACGGAACCCACTACATGCTGCTGTTGTGGTTGTTCTTGTTGTTGTTGTGGTGGTGGTTGTTGTTGTTGTGGTGGTTGTTGTTGTGGTGGTGGTTGTGGTTGTGGTGGTTGTGGTTGTGGTGGTTGTTGTTGTTGTTGTTGTGCTGGTTGTTGTTGTGCTGGTTGTTGTTGTGCTGGTTGTTGTTGTGGTTGTGGTGGTTGTTGTTGTGGTTGTGGTGGTTGTTGTTGTGGTTGTGGTGGTTGTTGTTGTGGTTGTGGTGGTTGTTGTGGTGGTTGTGGTGGTTGTTGTTGTGGTTGTGGTGGTTGTTGTGGTGGTTGTGGTGGTTGTTGTTGTGGTTGTGGTGGTTGTTGTTGTTGTGGTGGTTGTTGTGGTGGTTGTTGTTGTGGTGGTTGGTGTTGTTGTTGTTGTGGTGGTTGTTGTTGTGGTTGTTGTTGTGGTGGTTGTTGTCACCTTTGACCCTGGCACTCGCGCCGCCATCGCCATGGCAACCACACAGGCGGGGCCCAGCGCAGTAGAGCCACCCTCAGAGAGCCTGAGTCAGTCACACAGTCAGTCAGTCAGTCACACAGTCAGTCAGTCACACAGTCAGTCAGTCACACAGTCAGTCACACAGTCAGTCACATAGTCAGTCACACAGTCAGTCAGTCACACAGTCAGTCAGTCAGTCACACAGTCAGTCAGTCACACAGTCAGTCAGTCAGTCACACAGTCAGTCACACAGTCAGTCAGTCACACAGTCAGTCAGTCACACAGTCAGTCACACAGTCAGTCAGTCACACAGTCAGTCAGTCACACAGTCAGTCACACAGTCAGTCAGTCACACAGTCAGTCAGTCACACAGTCAGTCAGTCAATCACACAGTCAGTCAGTCACACAGTCAGTTACACAGTCAGTCACACAGTCACACAGTCAGTCACACAGTCAGTCACACAGTCAGTCAGTCACACAGTCAGTCACACAGTCAGTCAGTCACACAGTCAGTCAGTCACACAGTCAGTCACACAGTCAGTCACACAGTTGCACAGTCAGTCACACAGTCACACAGTCAGTCAATCACACAGTCAGTCAGTCACACAGTCAGTCAGTCACACAGTCAATCAGTCACACAGTCAGTCAGTCACACAGTCAGTCACACAGTCAGTCACACAGTCAGTCAGTCACACAGTCAATCACACAGTCAGTCACACAGTCACACAGTCAGTCAGTCACACAGTCAGTCAGTCACACAGTCAGTAACACAGTCAGTCAGTCACACAGTCAGTCAGTCAGACAGTTCCAGTTATGAGGTGAGTGTGGTGGGTGTGGTGGGTGAGTGAGTGGTGAGTGAGTGAGTGGTGAGTGAGTGGTGAGTGAGTGAGTGGTGTGTGGGTGAGTGGTGAGTGAGTGAGTGAGTGAATGGTGAGTGAGTGGTGAGTGAGTGAGTGGTGAGTGAGTGAGCGAGCGAGTGAGTGGTGAGTGAGTGAGTGGTGAGTGAGTGAGTGGTGTGTGAGTGAGTGGTGTGTGAGTGGTGAGTGAGTGGTGAGTGAGTGAGTGGGTGAGTGAGTGAGTGGTGAGTGAGTGGGAGAGTGAGTGAGTGAGTGGGTGAGTGAGTGAGTGTGTAGTGAGTGAGTGGTGAGTGAGTGGTAAGTGAGTGGTGAGTGAGTGAGTGGTGAGTGAGTGGTGAGTGAGTGCTCCTAGTGAGTGAGTGGTGAGTGAGTGGTGAGTAACTCACCAGGAGATGCGGTGAGCGAGTGAGTGAGTGGTGAGTGAGTGAGTGGTGAGTGAGTGGTGAGTGAGTGCTCCTAGTGAGTGAGTGCTCCTAATGAGTGAGTGGTGAGTGAGTGGTGAGTGAGTGGTGAGTAACTCACCAGGAGATGCGGTGAGTGAGTGCTCCTAGTGAGTGAGTGGTGAGTGAGTGGTGAGTGAGTGAGTGGTGTGTGGGTGAGTGAGAGGTGAGTGAGTGGTGAGTGAGTGAGCGAGCGAGTGAGTGGTGAGTGGTGAGTGAGTGAGTGGTGAGTGAGTGAGTGAGTGGTGTGTGAGTGAGTGAGTGGTGTGTGAGTGGTGAGTGAGTGGTGAGTGAGTGGTGAGTGAGTGGTGGGTGAGTGAGTGGTGAGTGGGAGAGTGAGTGAGTGAGTGGGTGAGTGAGTGAGTAGTGAGTGAGTGGTGAGTGAGTGAGTGAGTGGTGAGTGAGTGATGAGTGAGTGCTCCTAGTGAGTGGTGAGTGAGTGGTGAGTAACTCACCAGGAGATGCGGTGAGCGAGTGCTCCTAGTTAGTGAGTGGTGAGTGAGTGGTGAGTGAGTGGTGAGTGAGTTGTGAGTGAGTGAGTGGTGAGTGAGTGCTCCTAGTGAGTGAGTGGTGAGTGAGTGGTGAGTGAGTGATGAATAACTCACCAGGAGATGCGGTGAGCGAGTGCTCCTAGTGAGTGAGTGGTGAGTGAGTGGTGAGTGAGTGAGTGGTGAGTGAGTGGTGAGTGAGTGGTGAGTGAGTGGTGAGTGAGTGCTCCTAGTGAGTGAGTGGTGAGTGAGTGGTGAGTGAGTGGTGAGTAACTCACCAGGAGATGCGGTGAGCGAGTGCTCCTAGTTAGTGAGTGGTGAGTGAGTGGTGAGTGAGTGGTGAGTGAGTGGTGAGTAACTCACCAGGAGATGCGGTGAGCGAGTGCTCCTAGTGAGTGAGTGGTGAGTGGTGAGTGAGTGAGTGGTGAGTAACTCACCAGGAGATGCGGTGAGCGAGTGTGTGACTGAGTGTGTGAGTGAGTGGGTGAGTGGGTGAGTGAGTGGTGAGTGAGTGAGTGAGTGGTGAGTGAGTGGTGAGTGAGTGGTGAGTGAGTTGTGAGTGAGTGGTGAGTGGGTGGTGAGTGAGTGGTGAGTGAGTGGTGAGTGAGTGGTGAGTAACTCACCAGGAGATGCGGTGAGCGAGTGTGTGACTGAGTGTGTGAGTGAGTGGGTGAGTGGGTGAGTGGTGAGTGAGTGAGTGAGTGGTGAGTGGTGAGTGAGTGGTGAGTGAGTTGTGAGTGAGTGGTGAGTGAGTGGTGAGTGAGTGGTGAGTGAGTGGTGAGTAACTCACCAGAAGATGCGGTGAGCGAGTGTGTGACTGAGTGTGTGAGTGAGTGGGTGAGTGGGTGAGTGAGTGGTGAGTGAGTGAGTGAGTGGTGAGTGAGTGGTGAGTGAGTGGTGAGTGAGTGGTGAGTGAGTGGTGAGTGAGTGGTGAGTAACTCACCAGGAGATGCGGTGAGCGAGTGTGTGACTGAGTGTGTGAGTGAGTGGGTGAGTGGGTGAGTGAGTGGTGAGTGAGTGAGTGAGTGGTGAGTGAGTGGTGAGTGAGTGGTGAGTGAGTTGTGAGTGAGTGGTGAGTGAGTGGTGAGTGAGTGGTGAGTGAGTGGTGAGTGAGTGGTGAGTAACTCACCAGGAGATGCGGTGAGCGAGTGCTCCAAGCGAGCCCCCCAGAGCCCCGGGCTCAGGGCTCACTCCACCGGCTGCCCGCAGAGCGGCGAGGTCCCCCAGGAGGGCGGGGCCTAGAGCCGGGGGGGCGGGGCCAGACGCGTCACCGTGCACCACCACCTGGGCAGAGGGGACCCAGGTAGACTCGACGCAGGGCGGAGGGGGCAATGCACCGCCACGGCCACCGCTCACCGCTGAGTGGGCGGTGACGTCACCACCATCGCAACGGCCACCGCTCACCTGAGCGGCGTCACCACTGAGTGGCGGTGACGTCACCACTGAGTGGGCGGTAACGTCACCACTGAGTGGCGGTGACGTCACCACCATCGCAACAGCCACCGCTCACCGCTGAGCGGCGGTGACATCACCACTGAGTGGGCGGTGACGTCACCACTGAGTGGGCGGTAACGTCACCACTGAGTGGCGGTGACGTCACCACTGAGTGGGCGGTGACGTCACCACTGAGGGGCGGTGACGTCACCACCATCGCAACAGCCACCGCTCACCGCTGAGCGGCGGTGACATCACCACTGAGTGGGCGGTGATGTCACCACTGAGTGGGCGGTGACGTCACCGCTGAGTGGCGGTGACGTCACCACCATCGCAACGGCCACCGCTCACTGCTGAGCGGCGGTGACGTCACTACTGAGTGGTGGTGACGTCACCACTTAGTGGCGGTGACGTCACCACACTATCGCAACGGCCACCGCTCAGCACTGAGTGGCGGTGACGTCACCACTGAGGGGTGGTGACGTCACCACTGAGCTTGTGCCAGGCTCCACCCCCCGTACCCCCCCCACCTCGTGGTTGAAGGTGATGAGAGCGACGCGCGTCTCTGGAGAGCGCTCGCACAGCCGCTCCAACGTGGCCACCAGAGCCTCCTGCACCCACTGGGGGGGGAGACACGAGGCACGGGGACACCGCTCAATCACTCCTCACTCATTCACCCACCCACTCACTCACTCACCCACTCATTCACCCACTCATTCACCAACTCACTCACATCACCCACTCATCCACCCGCCCGCTCATTCACCCACCCGCTCATTCACCCGCCCGCTCATTCACCCACCCGCTCATTCACCCGCTCATTCACG